ATTATTTTGGAATCCACTGGTTGAGTCACATGAAAGGAAATGCGGTTTCTCACCTTGGTTTCAAACCAGTACTTAAGATATTTTTGTTTAGGGAGTCAATATTTTCCCAGTCCACAAAATTTTTACCAGTTACCTAAAGGCTACAAACAACAATAACAAAACCCCACCAATCAATGCTAGCATTTAATACAATGAGCCTGGCCTATACAATTATTTGTCCTACTTAATGTGGAAAGCTGTTCTAGCCCTGGCCAATCAGCTCTTGGTAAGTAGGTGAATGCTTTTGCTATGCAAATAGAGCAATAATAGATGAGCAGACATACATCTGTTAAGGTTACAACAAGTACTGGAAAATACAGAGAAGAGAATGAGAGAGAAGTCTGCCTAGAACCACCAGCACAGGGGTGAATGAATTAAATGAAAGATTAATGGAATGACAATTATTCAGGGGTGAAGAAGAGGGAGAATAAAAAGACAGTGGGAAATAAGAAATACAGTAAGGGGAAGAGACACACAGACATAACTGTTGAACATCCCTTTCCCCAAACAGGGAAACTAGTTATCCTGAAGGGGAAGGCAGGGCAGCCAAACAGCTGGGGAATCAAAAGGATGGTGGGGCCTGGGCTAGCCTTTTCACTCACTTCAAGCAATTCAGCAGGGGGCACAAGAAGGGTATTCATGAGGTGCCGTGCAAGGAATTAAGAGGGAAGGAATAGGGATTGAATCTAAGAACCAATGGAAAATTTCCCTGCTTTGATTCTTCAATGTTTATGGAGCATGAGCACAATCAATGTCATTGTACCAAGTGGTCCCTGCTCACACGCTAATGTCTTGGATTATACAAGATCCCTAGTTCAGTGTGCTGGTGTTTGCAGAATGAGAAGCAGGCAAAAGCACGGGAAAGAGAGACTCAGAGAAGAGACGATTCAGTTGAACGGTCTAATGGAAGCAGCACCAGGGGTGGGTGATTGGGAACTAGGAAGGAGGAGGAGGAGGAGGAGAAGGGAACGGAGACAAAATGCAGAGTGGAGCTGAAAAGAGGCCAGGCTTGTACGGGGTTCAGGCTGGAGATATGTCTAAAACAAGTAGAATAAACCAATTTAAGATCAGTCATTCTCTGGCAGTACTGGATGGAGGGAAGGGTAGGGGAGAAGAAGGAAGGAAGATAGGTGTCAATCCCTTGAAGGAAGCATATCAGCGCAGGGCAGAAAACCAATCAATTCATTGTTGGTACATTGCAATAAAAATGCTCTAGCACCACTTAGGCAGACATGCAAACCTGCTTGAAAAGGCAGGTCCCAACCCTAACTCAGGCCAGAATCTAAGTAATGATTTGTAAAGGAATGAGTCACTTACCTTTCCAAATTAAGGTCAGCAATAGTTCATTCGAGGTCACAACGGACCAGACCTACATTCTTATGTGTGAAATGCCCAGTGTATGGCTCTTTTCCCTTGATTTTCTATCCCTGGCTCATAGCCAGTGATTGCCTTTTCATCCCATTAGGCACAGTTTAAGAGACAGATACTGTATCTTCCCATTGTCCTTGAGCAAGAGTTGTACCTTGAAGGTACAATCTTGAACAATTTTAATATTTTTCTTCCAGTGACTTGTCTTAGGAGGCTTTGATGTATGCTTAGAAACTGGAAATGTCTGTTCATTAGCCATGGGCATGGCTGGGTTCCTGCTCCGATCAAAAAAAAAAAGTCTTATGTCTCTTAAAGGGAGGAATGGAACTGCATGCACTTGGTGACCCAGACATCTCATCTTTGGCTATCTACCCTTCGGTGATGTTGAAAGGGCTGGGGGTCCAACGTTAGCCACCATTACCATCTTGAAGAACAGTTTCAATAGTTAATGAAAAAAAATAAAGGCACTAGACTCAGAGTCAGGTAGACCAGGATTCGGATCTTTCTTCAGATGCTTACTAGCCGTAGACTCTAGGCAGGTCATTTAACCTCACTAGGCCTCAGTTTACTGAACTGTAAAATGAGAGGGTTGAACTTGATGGCTTCAACGGTCCCTTACAGCTTTAGATCTATGATCCTATGAACCTTCTTGCGCTCTTTTAGGAGAGCAACAAGACCAGTTGCATGTCTGGACTTTAAAAACCGTTTTTTGGCCTAATGCCAAACCCAGCACCACGGCCATAAAGAAACACATCCTGACAATATGAGGGCAGCACCTTCAAGAATGTCAGAAAAATCAGGGCAACCCCCTTCCTCTATGGGGAGGCTTAAAGTTTTCTTGGTCTGCTAGTAGGATTTTCTTCTCTTTAGAAGAAACTCTAAGAAACTCTTCTTACCAAAGAAGAGTTCGGAGGTTTTGAGCAAGATACCTTGATCTTTGTCATGACTCATGGAAATTTCACGCCCAGAGGATAAAGCACCAGGCTTGGAGTCCGCAAGCCCTGAGCTCAAATCCAGCTTCAGACACTTACTAGTTGTGTAACCCTGGGCAAGCCATTTAACCTGTGCCTGCCTCAGTTTCCTCAAAATGGGGATTATAATTGCACCTACCTCCCAGGTAGGGTTATTATGAGGATCAATGAGATAATATTTGTTAAGTGCTTAGCACAGTTCTGGCATAGCATATACTATATAAGTGCTTATTACTTCCCTTTCCTTCCCCATCCCACCCCCTCCTTAACTGGTAATTCTATTTCAAACAGATTTGATAATTGGTTTAGAAATAAACTGAACACTCACCCTAAGGCTATAATTGGTTATTTAAAATTTTTGTGTGTATGTCTATGTATATACATTTATGTATATATTTATATATAAATACATATGTAAATTTCAAGCCCTCCAGGGTTATAAAGAGAGCAAAGATTTTCTCCAGGCTCTCTTCTAATTCATGGGAGAGAAGGTCTTTCCCTGTACAATCTCTGGGAAGAACTCAAAGGAACAAGTTGCCTATTTTAGTCAGCCTGTTGGGAAAGCAGGGAACGGAGCAAGCATCCAAACCGAAATCTGGTTGCACAGAATTAGGGCAAATGCGTTGCTAAACGGGCTCCCTCCCACACCTGCTGACTGCACTCCTGTTACGCTGACCTCCTCTATCAGAGCATCATATAAGGCTATTTGTCCAGACGCAGTGCATGGCCCCTCAGTCCCTACCCGCCTGCCTGACCCTACGGACTTACTCTAAATTCGGGCCATTATCTGTGTGGGAACAGCAAGGCTTCTAATTCCAGGTCTTTGTCTGTATGGGAATGAGGACGTGTGACTGGAAATCTACAAGCACCCAACTTGAGTGGGCTGCTCCCTGCCCCTAGGGTACTCCTCAGAGGGCACCATCATTTGACCCCATTTAAATATTCCAATTCAACACTTGACAACAGAAAGGAAAAAAACAAACAGGAAAAAAACCTTGCTCCCTAAAAACAGAGTACAGATGGCACAGCTCAGGGTGTTTCAAACACAGGTAGAGCGCAGGGGCTACCACATGACAGAGGAGGCCCATTCATCACAGGTACAGATGCCCCAGCCCTAAGACCACAGAGTTCCTGAATGGAAATTGGCTCTGGGAACACAGGAGGGTCTGACCTTGTGGAGACACACAGACGCATCATCTTAAAGGGGTTAATTATTATTTTAGTGTCCTATTGCTCTGTGTCACTGAGAAGACTCAGCGTGGCCCTCTATGGCTCTGAGACCTAAGTGGTTGTAGGTGACATTGAGTCTGGGTATTGTGGATGTCACAGGCCAGGGGAGGTAGAAACAAGAGTCTGTCCCTGCCAGAACACTGGAGCTGGTGAATAAGCTGTGATCCAGGGCCAGTGGAGCCTTCAGATTGGCCAAGAACCATTCAGTGAATTGACAGGCAGTATGGTTTTGTGCAGAGAGCAAAGAACTTGAAGCCAGAGGACTCAGGTCGGAGTTCTGGCTCTAGCACCCACAAGCTGTGCAGCTTCTCTGCTTCCATAAAGTTTAGCCATCCATAAAGTAGAGATAATCACTCTGTGATGTAGGGCATCACTTCAAGGAATGGGAGCTATCCTTATTCCTGTTCCAGCATCCTGAAAAGTTAAGCCAGATGCTCTGCCTATGGGGTTATCTGCTCATTCACCTTGATAGATCCAAAGAGCCTGCATTTTTCTAGCCCAATATTCCTGTTCTCTAAGCGAAGAAAACCTGTGCTCCAGAAAGCTGCCTCTTGGTGTCATAATCAGGAAGAAAATAAACTGTGAACAGACAGAACAAAGCCAAGCACTGGGAGGCTGAGGACATGCAGCATACTGTGGCACCAGGCATCCCCCAAACCGAATCTTAGGGGCTTCTTACATCCTCCTTCCCTGGGGCAGTGACACCCTTAGAGGGCAGTATGCCAGCCTCGAGAGCTCAAAACAGCCCAGAAGGATAACTCTCCATCAGAGTGGCCGATGGCCGTGTGGCAAACAGGAAAGGAGAAGGAAGGACAAAGGGAAGATGCAGGAAAGCCGAGAAGTGTTCCTGGTGGCTTGAGCTTGCCGCATTGGGAGAGTGCCAAGCATTCCTGAATATTTCAGGGAAATGGTCTGGGACAGGAAATCAATATGGGAATCCATCTCCACTCTGTTTCAGAATGCCTCTTCTGTACTTCTTCTAGCAGTGTGCTGAAATGGGGAAGGGGATGTGGGGAAAGCCCATGACCTCTGCCAGGCTCTGCCAGGCTTGGAACATGCAGCCACACTGAGTCAGAAGACCAGCCCCGGCCCTACTGCCCAGTCCTGTGAGGGTGAAGCGATTGGTTATGGAGCCTTACATTTCAACTCACGTCTGTCTCCAGCCTGCAGGAGTCACCCCTTCAAAACAAAGGCAGCATTAGTTCCAAGATGCACTTGAGGGGCGGCCACAGTGGGTGTGGTTTGACAAGTCTCTGTAAAGTGTCCTGAAGGGAGGAACTGCCCCCTTACCTCAGTAGATCTTTCTCAAGGGTGATGAGTAAACGACTCAAATCTGTTAAGCGTTCAAAAATCAGACACAGAGTAGGGAAAACAAAATAAAATCTTCTGTACCTTCATCTCCTCCTCCATTTCTGACATTTTCCGCTCCAGGGCTCTCCTCTCCTGTTTTAAAAAACAGTGAGTGTGTTTTAGGAGGGGGTCAAACTGTGCTTTCTTTCAGCTGGTCTCTTAGAAGTAACTGTGTGACCTGTAAACAGCAGTTTTCTTTAGCTCCCACCCAAAGGATTCACCTTTTTTTTTGGTTTTGGCACACTTATATCCCAGGTTTGGGGTTCTGTGGTGGAGCTTACCACTCTGGGGATAGGGCTACTTCCCTGAGGAAGACCACATTATCCAAATTCCATAATGGAACAGCAGAGGATCGCATAGGGAAATAGCATAAAAAATACCACTACAACAGTACCAAGTCATCCTAGGTCACAGTGTCAAAAATGTCTTCAAATTTAAAATGACTTCAAGAGACCAACACCCAGTTTTTCCCTTTTACCCACTTCAGTAATGCTCCTCCCACATATTCTCCAAGTCAGTGTCCCTCATGATGGGGAACAAGCGTAGATGGCCCTTGACAGATCACCCTGCCCCCATCCCAAGTATGTTGTTTCTTTTTATCCTGAAGACTAATCCCTATTAGTCCCAGTAAAGGGACCCTCACTGGGACAGATCGGATGGAAGCTCAAAGAGGTTTGCATATAAGAGGAACAGAATGTATAACTTAGCTAGTTTTCAAATACAAAGTAATGGGAAAGCTGGACAGAAGGACACAGTCAAAACCTAGCTGAGCTCATGTACTTAAGTCAATCATAATTCAGATGTCTCAGTGGAGACAGGTCAAGCCCGGGGAGCATCCTCAAACCTTTTAGACAAGTGCCTCAGCTAGCAGAGAACCAGAGATTCTGCAATCAGTGGAGATCTCTGCTGGCTCACATCACCTCCCAGATGAGCGCCTCCCTTCTGTGGCCAGGGCCAGGGTGGTGTGCATGCGATGATTTTCAGCTAAACTGAAATGCATGTTTTACAGGATGATGTGGCACAGTGGAGCCTGGAGGCAGGGTCATTACGAGATGACCAAGAATGGAACAAAGGGAAGGACTGGCCATCTGAGATCCCAAAAGGATTAGAAATTAAACTCAAGCAAAAAGAATTTTTCATGAAGCTGGGGATAGAATGTGGCAGGACTAATAATGCCTTTTTAAGATGAACTTTTTCCATTGGCAAGAATAACAAAGCCAAGGAGAGTAAAAAGAGAAACAGAGATAGAGCAGAGGGGAAAGAGGAACACACGTACCCTTTTCTCCACCTCCAGCATTGTTGATCGGTCAGAAGTTTTTTCTTGTTTCTGCTGGTACCAATGAAAAAATCCAGATATTACTGCTGAAAATCTAGGACATATAGAAAGCCCAGTCTACCGTCCCTGCTGTCCTCAACCTGACATTCACAAACAGAAAGCAGTGCTTCAGAGGTCCCCCACCCCAGGGGCCCCCCAACTGTTATACTGAGATTGACCGGCAGAGGGTCGGACCCAATACAGGTCTCTGAGTTAGTTGCCCCCTCCTCCCCTCCACTGGGCTTGTTTGGGTTCCCAGGCACATGTTAGTGTGAAGGAAGGATGCGCAGCCAGCAGTAGGAGCCATCTCTTTCCTTCTTTACTTCAGCACCTCCCCATCCCTGACACCTGGCTCTCTTTCCCAGCGCTCCACCTGTGTCTTATGGGACGGGACGCTGTGAATCTCAAAATGAGAAAACCACTTGGGAGCCTCTTCTTTTCCCAAACAGCCCCTTCCCAGGCTCCTTGCTTCCAGTGTCCAAGGGCACTTCAGATCACCCTAAAGTACAGCATGCGAGTGGCTTAAAAAGAACAAAGACTAAATTTTTGGTAAACAAAATGGAACATCCTTAGATTGGAGGAATGTCTAGTTGGGGGTCAGGGGATGGGCTAAATAAAGTTTCAAGCTCCCTTTTGTGCCACAGAACCTCATAAGGTGTCTTCTATACTGATGGTCCACAAAAATAAAATTTGTTAGTTGACTTTACTCCTGGATGGTACACAGGCAGCACTTAAGCAATATGGCGGTTGTGCTGTTGCTAGGCAGGAACTCCAGAAGCTGTTCATTCTTTTACAGCAAGGCTCAGAATCCTGACTCCCATCTTGAGCTCTTGCCTTCCAGTTTGAAAGTCCTGGCTCCCTGCTTTTTACCACTATCCCTTCATCGGATCCTTCCTGAGAAGGAAGATGAAGGGAGAGCAGAAGTGGATCTTTGCTCCTGCATTTGCTTAGTAAGGCACATTTTGTGAAGTAGAAAGAACACTGGAAGTGAAGTTGGAAGGCCCAGATTCTAGCCCTGGCCTTGCCACTGACCAGCATGCTACAGTCATGTCTCTTCTCTGGGCCTTTCTTTGGGAAGTGAGCCCTTTCCTTCCTCTCATCTGTACATGAGGGATTTGGATGAGATGGTTTCTAGGGTCCAGTCCAACTCGGACATGTTTTGATCTGAATTCTCACTTTCCCAAGTTTCTAAAGATGCCGTAGATGCTGTCTCATGAGATGCAGTCATTTAGCATTTTGAAACTACTTTTATGCAAAGGAAAAGTACTCCATGATTTTACTCCCTTTGCTTTTCAATCAAGAGCAGGTAACATTGTCATATGCATGATGATGGCAATATCTCCTTTTACAAATATGCAATCTCTCTCTGGAGCGCCAGGCCTGCATCCAAACCAGAGCTCATTATCCTTGACCCCAAACTCACCTCTTTTCCTAATGTTCCCTTCTGTCTGAGACATGCCATGTCTCCGACATCTAGGCTCAATTTCAGTTATCATTGGCCCTTCTTTTTCACTCATGCTTCACATCCCACCACAGTTGCCAAAACTTGTTAATTTGGCCTCCATCACATATCTCATAACCACCCCCTTTTTCCCACTCACACGGCCACACCGCCCGACTGAGGCCTCCATCACCTCTTGTCTGGACCACTGCAGTGGCCTCTCACCAGCTGTCCCAGCCTTTAGTCTCTCCCTCTTTATTCTCCCCACAGCTGCCAAACTGATATATTCCCAAAGTAGGGTCTGACGCTGTCACTCGCCTTCCCAAGAAGTGACAGTGGCTTTGTCTTGCCTCTAGTATGAAATATAAACTCTTCTGTTTTGCTTTTAAAGCCCTTCCCTTTCCAATTCCAGCCTTCCTTTCTAGGCTTTTTACACACGACTCCCCCTGCACACATTCTATATTCCAGCCCCATTGGGCCTGCCTGCTGCTCCCCACAAATGACATTCCATCTCCCGTCCTGTATGAGCAGTCTCCCATGCCTGAGAGGCCCTCCCTCTTCACCTCCACCTCTTAGAATCCTGAGCTTCTTTCAAAGCTCAGCTCAAGTGTCACCTCTATAGAAAGCCCAACCTGATTTCCCCCAGTTGTTAAGGGCTTTTTTTTTCCCTGGAAGTTACTTTATATTTCATTTTCTCTCTCTATCTGTATCTCCAGCACTGGTGCAGTGCCTAGCATAGAACGGTGCTCAACTGTTTATATAGGGCTGTCAGATCCTTCATCTTGGGATGCCAGTTCCCTTAGAAAACGGCAAACCCAATTTTTAAAAAATTCCATGTTTGGTAAAATCACACAAGAAGAGAGTTCATAATTTCATGGTCTCCCCAGAATTTCAATCCTTGGGTGCATCTGGCAACAGTAGCTGTACTCAAGCCCCCCCCCCCCCCCCCCCCCCACCCCAGCAGTACATCAAAGAACATGGACTTTCTCCCAGGAATCAGACAGGGTGAGGCTCTTTATAGCACCCGCCTTGTAAGTCAACATCCGATGCTGGCTAGACAGCTTGCCAGATGTGGAACACAGGCTAGAGAGGCCAAGAACACTCAAGGACCCTAAGAAGTGCTACCTTTCATGTCTTCTGAAGAAGAAGAAATGAAAAAGGGGAAGTTGGGTCCTCTATGGTGAGGTTTAAGCTTTTCCTGAGTTTGAATCACCATTAAACCCCACTCTCTGCCCGCGCTGGGGCAAGATCTCTGACAAGGAGTCTATCAGTCAGAAACGTGTACTCCAGCCAGGAAAAACCAAGCCTCTGCTCTCGTCCAAGGGTTGTGGGGGCATTTCCTGGGAGCAGCGGCCAGGGTGCTGTGGCCAAACTGCTCTGGTACCACGAGGCCTTCTTGAGCTCTTTCTGTCCCTTACCTTACCTTACCTTACACTGCTGCAAGCAAGAGTTGGGTGAACACTTAACAAAAACCAACCCGTGCCATCTAGCCGTACATGCTGTGGGATTCTGATCACTGCTCTTCACTCTCATGTACAGATTGGACAAGCCCATTTCTTAGTTTTATTTTTTCATCTTCTTGATTCATTTTAAAATCAGTTCACTTTTCCAAATCTTTAGCCTCTAGACATTTCAGGGAGGGCAGTAACTCAATAGGTTTCCTGTTAACTCCACAATAAACTAAGACAGCACATGCTTCAGCTTTCAGCTGCAGGATTTGTTTCACTGGGAATGAGGTTATTACCTCCAGCACCTTTTAAAAGCATCATCTAATTAAACCAGGCTTAGCTGTAACAGAAGAGAGGTTTACTCAGTCCTCCAGCCATCAAAGATCCTTGTTCCTAGACAGTAATGGCTGAGACTCCAGTGCGCTGCCTAGTCTACTGGAGAGCACCTCAGCTTTGGATTCAGGACAAAAGGGCCTCACAGCACTCATGGTCTCAGCTCTCAATTTGCTACATGACCTTGCTGAAAACATCACTTATGTCTGGGCCTCAGCCTCTCTGAAATATAGAGTGAGAAAGTAGCCGGAGGATGAGTCACCAACAGGATGACACTGAAAGCGTACAGAACCAACTGGGCAGTGGAGAGGGTGGCCAAAGCAAGAATCAATCCTCGGCAATGTGGATAATCAGGAGATATTTGCTCAACATTTCATTTTTCCATTTTAGGCAAACAGCAGACAAAGATTTCTGAGGCTTATCCTCCACCCCTCCCATTGATCTGAGGCCTCCTCCTCCTCTCCCCCACAACCTCACCTGGGCCACCTTTTCCAATTTAGACTTGACATCTGCCAGCTCCCGCTGAGCCTCCTGCAGTTTGGTTTTCAGCTTCTGGTTTTCCGTCAGGGCACTCTCATAGAGCTTGGGGAAGAAAAAGGGAGCATCTGGTCACCCACTCATTAGCATTGTTGGGAGGAGAAGGGGCAGCGGAACCCTGATTCCACTAGCAGAGCCAACTCCAGATGAGAAAATTCTCTCCCCCAATGCAAACCAACACCTTCTCTGAGATGTGCAACTTTGGGAAGGGCCAAGGGCCCTCACAGGGTCTTGCCCAGCATCACAGAGCAAGCTTGTGTCAGAGCAGCACTTCAACCTGGGTCTTGACACCAAGGCCTGGTCTCTTGTCCACTAGGCCATGTTGTCTCTGGCAGAAATACACAGGAGAGAATGAAATACTCCAAGTGACAGCAAAGATGGAGGTTTTTTCTTTTTTGAAGGTAATAAGAGACCCAGATGATGAACATACAGGAAAGCAAAGATGATGTCCTAACATCAACCAAACATCAATTTTTTTTTTAAAGTACACTGCCTGGCACATAGTAAGTACTCCTTCCTTCCTTCCTTTTTTCCAGAGGCAGCTAACAAAAAAATCAATTCTGAAGAAAAATCTTTCTTTTGCTTCTTTCTAGAACATTTGAATCTCCTAGTACAAATAACCCTTATATGCCCACACTAAAGAGAATGATTCAGAACCAGCCTCATGGGTATGTGTATTCCAGCCAAGGGTTAAAAGGAAAATATCACTTTGCTCTGCTATAGTATTTTTAACAAAACAGCTTATCTTTGGGCTTCAAGTACCTGAAGAAGAAGTCATTTAAACTGCTTTGGGACTGGGAAATATACCACTGGAACCCAAGTGAACCGGAGAGAAAGTGAGTTCAAACCCTGCTCTCACTTGGTTGGATATAAACACCACCCAGTGGCATTTCTGCTGCTTTTCATCATAAAAGTAAGGATACTCACATAACAGCACTTTTCCTCACACCTGAGCTTTACCATAACCCCAAGAGGGAAGGATGGGGGTGGGGGTGAGAAGATAGGGAGGGAGGTACTATTAACTCCCATTTTACAGATGAAGAGGTGGGGGCAGACAGCTAGAGGGTCCCCTAGCTGGGAAGGATCTGAGAGGGGTTCCTAGCTCCAAGTTCAGCCTCTGCCCAGTAGGCCACGCTACTTCTTTCATACTCCTTAGAAAACATTTAAGCTTGTGCAAAACATCAGGGCCAAGTGAGGGACTTCAGGACACTACGCTCAGGGTATTAATTTTACACATGCCTGGTTTCCCTTCCTTCCAATTCTTTTCTTTTCTTTTTTTTTTTTGTGAAGACAATTGGGGTTAAGTGACTTCCACAGCTATTAAGTGTCAAGTGGTGTCTGGTCTGAGGCCAGATTTGAACTCAGATCCTCTTGACTCCAGGCCCAGTGCTCTATCCACTGCACCACCTAGCTGCCCCCTTCCTTCCAATTCTTGACACTTTTTGATTCCTCATCCCAACTGACATCCTGTGAGATCTGACACCAGAGCACACGCTATAATGGAAAAGGTTTAGACAGGGACCGTGTACATTTGATATAGAGCTGAATAGGACCAATGAAGGCACCTGGAAATTACTCTTTATGACCTGACCCTTCTCTTCAAGCTCACCTAGATTTCACTTGAGAGGCTCAATTCTCATAACCCAAGGAGGAAAGTGATTGAAAAAGAGCCTACTTTTCTATAATCCCTTTGGCAGTCCTCTTCTACTCGACTTGTCAAAGAAGCTATCCGGGCCTCCCGGCGGGCCTTTGCTGAAGCCCGGTCACTATAGGTATCAGTGGTGGTGTGGCTACTGCCTTCTGATTCCAACCTATAGAGAAACAAAAGCAAAGGCACAACTTGATTCTGAGAACAAAGAAAAGAAAAGAGTGGGGAATGGGGTGTTGTTGTTTAAAGGCTGCCTGTTACTCCTCTGAGGAACACTTAAAAGCACTGGCCAGAAACAACACAAACCATTTCTCCCTTTAATCTCTCACTGTGAGCATTCCACAGCCCTCACAGCAAAGCTTCATGAGCTTATTTGGGGAGGGGGGTGGTGTAGCAGATTGCCAAATGTGGAGCCTACTTGGTTTGGAGCTGTGCACTAAACTTGAATCTTCAGGGCTTTTCAAATTAGTTTAAGTTTGAGTTGCTTCCCACACTAGAGAGAGCTTTAAAAGGAAAAGTTTTTTTTGGATGTCGGTGACTCTTGCAAAATCTGATTCCAGTGAAGTGTCAATGAAACAGAAACATATGTACTTGGAGATCTGGACTGGGGGTTTCAGGGTGTGGAGCTTGGCAGAAGGCTGCCACGCTGCTGAGTAAGCTGCTCCATAGGTTTGTTTGAACTACGAACATTTAGGGATGCTACCTGATCACAAACACAGCTGTCCCTCTTACTCTATATTGCATGTGTAGGCTGTTACGCTGGAGCGACACCCTCTAGCAACCCAGTAATAACATCCAGAGACTCAGGGTGTGTTAGGGGTGGTGTTGACTTTCTGTTCCTAGCGTCTCTGGTCAGTTCAAGCCCAGCGAAGGAATGTTAGAAGCAAGAACAGCTATAACACCTGGGAACGGAGATCCTACTATTCTGATGTACAACCTTCACCTTGTTCCTTAATAAAAGTGTTCACACCCACCCCAAACTAAAAAGTGTCCAACTGTTTAAAATGCTGGGGGGAAAAAAACCCAACACAACCAGACCCAACCACTAGCCTCACAAAGCTCAACACCAAATGGCTCCGTCTCGGGAAGGAGTACAGCTGTGTCAAGTGTGTATATTTGGGGATTGTCACAGTTGGGAGGAGGAGTTGAGAAAAAGCTAGAAAAGGTAGTTGAGGACTTCAGGAAGAGACTGCCAGGGGAGGCAAGGATCTATGATGCCATTTTAAACCATAATGTTCCTTTGGGATTATAAGAGAGTCAACAAAAAATTATCTCATAAAATAGCCACTTCCCTACCAGATGAGTAGTAAAGAGTGTTGATTTTATTTGGCTTATTCCCTGTTAGTACCTCATAGGAGGGTAGACTGGTGTATCTTAAAAAAAATTTGCAAGGCAGGGAATTATACCCCACTTTTTCTGAATTCAGTGACCAACTATGGAAAAGAAACAGCTTTTCCTTGAGGTAGACTATTGATATATCTTTTTCCTGAAACACTGGGAAACCTGAGCTCTCCCAGATCCCCTCTTCCTTATGGCCTGAGATGTTTGCTTCTTAATGCTACTACTCTCTCCAACCCCCCCATCCCCATCCTGAGATCAATGTTGAACCTTTAGATATTAGATTCATTCAACTAAACATTATCAGGAAAGGAATTTTTTTTTACTTCTTTCCATGATTCTCTAGCAACTCAAAATGTAGCTTCCAAAATTTATAGCCAATTATCATGCGTAAAGTACTATGCTAGATACTTGGGGGTGGGGAGGTGGGGGCAGGGTAAATAAAAGGTTGTATAAGAGTCTGTTTTCAAGAAGTTAACAATATACTAGAGAAGATAAGACATAGGGTTACAGGATCCTAGATTTAGAGTTGAGTTTTGAAGGAAACAGGAGAGTCACAGAGGCAAAGGCAGAAGTGAGGTGAAACTACATTCCATACAGAGGAGACAGCCAAGCCTTTCGGCTTGGAGACAAGTTGTCAGGGCAGTCAGTCAGTCAACAAGTATTTATTGAGTGTTTACTATATGCCAGGCACTGTACTAAACATTCTAGTGCTTAGATACAAAGAAACACAAAAACATAGTTCCTGTCCTCAAGAACTCACATTTTAATGAGAAAGACACACACAAAAATTATACAGATATAAAAATTATGTATGTATTCCATTAGATTGAGAGCTCCTTGAGGGCAGGGCTTGTCTTTGGCCTCTTTTTGTATTCCTAGTGCTTAGCACAGTGCCTGAGGGCACACAGTAGGTGCTTAATAAAGGTTTAGTGACTGACACATAAGACATCTACAATGTAACTAGAAGTTAATCTTAGAGGAAGACACCAGCAGTGGAGGTGCGTAGGAAAGGCCTCAAGCAGAAAGTGGGATTTGAGCAGAATCCTGAGAGAGGCCAGGTAAGCGAGGAGTCAGAGGTAAGGAGGGAGAGCATTCCAGGGCACCCGTAGCTGTACTGTAGAGTATGTGGATGGGGGTAAAGTGGAAGCATGCTGGAAAGGCAAAAAGGGGCCACGGTGCGAGGAGCTTTCACTGCCAAATAGAGCATTTTATTGGAGTATGTGACATAGTCAGACTTATGCTTTAGGCTATTAAGGGGCTTTAAAAGCTTACATTTGCCATAGAAAGAAAGGGATGTGGTGCTTTGGGAATATTAATCTGGAGGTAACCTCCACCATATGATTTCTCCATTACTATTCTAGAACTGTTATGCATCAGTGGAAAAAATTTAGGGTCCACAGCCTCAACTAGGTCCTCATTGATACCTGATAATCTTTCTACTAGATTAGATTCTTATCAGCTCCCTTCTTCATTCCCCAAAGTAACTATTCCAAACCTTTCCTTTCCTTCTTTTCCCTACATCTTTATTTCCAACACCCTGGTCTTGCCATACCATTCCAGCAGATGACCTTATCCAGTCCCCCAATTCAACGAGAAGAATGTAGCCATCTGTCTTGAGCTCTCTCAGCTCCCTTTTTCACTCCTTCAAGCTCAGGATCATCATTTACTTTCTCCTTGCTCCCACCAGTCATAGATGAGGTAACCCCAATCCTCACTACAGGTAATCCTGACATCGGTGCCCTCAATTCCTTTCCCTCCAGACTCCTCCAACGCCTTACTCTCATTTTTAACCTCTCCCTTTCCACTTACTCTTGCCTATCCAAGTACAAAAATGAAGCTCACTTCTCCCCAATTCTTAAAAAGTTTTCTCTTCCATTCAGTTACTATCCCATCCTCTACGGTGATTCACTATTAAACTTCTTTTAAAAAGTTGTCCATATCCAATGCCCACCCCCCCCACTCCTCAATCTTTTCAAACTGCTTTCTCAAAGTTCATCAGTGACTTCCCAACCACCAAATCATTTTGTTTCCCAGTCTTTATCCCCCTTAATCTCTCTGCAAGCTTTTGACCTTGTAGATCCTTCCTTCCTATTTTCAGCTCTCCGGGTTGTTCCCCTTTATCTTCACTGCTCCCCGTCTCCTTTACTGGTTCCTCTATTGGCGATTCTTGTATATGGCTCTTCTTCTTCAGCCTGCCCTCAGTCTTCTTACTCTTTTCAATTTACACTTCCCCCTTTGCAATCTCATTTACTCCCACAGCTTCAACTACAACCTCAATGCAAATGACTTTCACATTTTCATTTCCCTTCTTGACTTCTCTTCTGACCTTCTTCAGACACATACCTCTAGCTGTCTACTAGATGTCTCTATTTGGATCCACTAGCACTTTAAATTCAAAATGCCCCAACTGATCATCATCTTTGGCCCCAAAGCAGTAGCTGTCATTAATACCATTACTGAGCCACTCTCTCATGAGTATAATCTGAGAGTCATCTTTGGCTCTTTGACCTTCACTTCTCATATCCAATCAGTTCCCAGGCACTTATTAAATGCCTACTATGTGACACACCTATGCTAGGTGTGGGAGATATAAAACCCAAAACAAAACAGCCTTTGACCTCACGGAGCTTACATTCTATCAGGGGAGACATGTACACGTATAAGTATATAAATATAAGGTAACTGGTGAGGGTAGGGAATGGATGTAAGGCATTTGCAATGAGGGAGATCACAGAAGCCCTCATTGGTGGCTAATCAAAGCCCTCATCAAGGTGGCACTTGAGCTAAGACCCTGAAGTTGCATGTTATAGATTGAGGAAAAGGGAAGGGGGAGGGAGGGAAAGAAGAGGAGAAAGAGAGAGAGAGAGAGAGAAGGGGTGGGGGGAGAGAGGAGATCAGTTAGGAGGCCATTAAACTAGTTCAGCTGAGAATTAATAAAGGCCTGAAATAGAGTAGTGGCAGTAGTAATGAAAAGTGCCAGAAGAGGGAAATATTGCTAAACTGTGTGAAGGAAAAAGATTAAGGCAAATCATTCTCACACATAAGTATTAAGCATGCATATAAAACAGGGAAAATTCTTACCTAGAAAGTCTTTCATGCTAGAGAAAGAGGGAGACAAAAGAAAAAAAAAACGACAATATTAGCAAGGAATGGATTCATTATTTCCATTTATAAAACTGTACCCTTGACAAAAGATTCATCTACTTCATAACTGTAGGTCAGAATACGTCTGAAAATGGCGAACAATTGATTGTTTTTAAAAGTTAGGATGCTAGGCTCTGACGTCAGTGTTCTTTGCAGCATTGACCCCTTGAATTTGGGACTTTCTGAGCAGCCTTCTCTGGCTAGTAGGGTGTTAGACCAAAAGCAAAAAATACCCCACTAGGAATCTAGTAATATTTTTTTACCACTTACTGTTCTACGGTGGCTAGTGGCTGGCCCTGGGTAAATTACTCAAGCTCCTGAAGGGGAGGAACCGACTTGTCTTTCTCTAGATCACTGGGATCTTGTGAGATTAAATGAGTTTTGGGAAGAAAAGTATTCTACATACCCAAGGACAACTGTCAATTATTTGTGGTCATTAAAAACAAGCTTTACAATACTGATAAGGTCTTCCTAAATTATTTGTGATTTTTATTTGGTTATAGCAATTTATGAGTCTCAATTTCCTCTTCCATTACTACTTTTACCAAAGCCCAATCAAGTAAAAAGTTCAAGGGATTTGAATTTCACTTCTTTGTTTACTCTCTTCAGGTGCTACTGAGCAGCAAAATTGTCAAAGATAGGTAAATAAAGGGAGAAGTAAAAGTGCCAGGATAGCCCGAGGGATGTAGACAATCAATCCCTAAATAACTAAGAGTTGGTTCCATTGGAGTGTTGAATCAGACTGCTTCGTTACAGACTTTTAATTTGATTTGATAATCACCAAGCCAATGACATCCTCCCCTCCCTTCTCCTGAAGAAGTCTCTCGCCAACACCAGGAAAACCATATTCCAAGCACATGCAGCATGACAGCTCTCTAGGGTTTTGCCAAAACATATATCCCAAAGCTTGCCTTGAATGACTTAGCAGACTGTCTTTACTAGCTGCTGTGCTCAAAAATTCATCACCTGGTGGTCAGCCTCAGGGTGAGCTTCTTAATGGAGTTAGGATGGTCTTTGTATGATAGATGTAGAGTCTACTTCGGGGTCTATTCTTAAAGCTTTTCCAGCTTGGTAGGACTTGCTGGAGACTGCCTGGCATTGCCTTCCAGGACCCAGGGTCATCCCCATACTACAAGAGGCATTAGACTAGGACTCTGGTGGAGGAGAAAAGAGCTCAAGGCCTACCTAGTGTACTTTGCTGCTTCTACATAGGACTACACACAAACTTTTCTAAACTATTCAAAGAAACACAGACTCTCAGAATAGAAGTGATCTCAGATGCCATCAAGTCTAACCCATTCCTGTATTAAGAATGCCCTCTACAATATTTCTGAATGATTATTTAGCCTTTGCTTGAAAACATCCAATGGAAAAAAACTCATTACCTTCTGAAGCATCTCATCCCACTGTTGGATGGCTCTAATTTTCAAGGGCTTCTTCCTGATTTCAAACCCAAATCTATCTCCTTGAAACTCCACCTACTGTTCTAGTTCGGCCTTCTGGGGCCAAGCAGCACAAATTGAACCCCTCTTTCATATGACAGCCCTTCAAATACCTGAAGAAAGCTATTAGATCCCCCAAGCCTCTTCCACATGATAAACATCCTCAGTTCCTTCAGCTGATCCTTATTCACCAGGACCTCGAGGCTCTTCCTCACCCTGGTCTCTTTTTGGATGCTCTCTGGTTTATCCACATGGTGCCCCAAATGGACCGCACCATTTCAGATACAGTATGGGGAGGACAAGTTCATGGAGCTCTCTGCCAAGATGGGTATTCAACGCCTTCTTGGCTTCCCCTGATCCATTCTTGCTCCACTATGCCCACTTCCTTAGGATGAGTGTGGATCAAGGTCTGCCTACCCTTTCAAGAGCTAAACACCCTTTCAATACACTGACTTTGCTTCTATAACATTGCTACTTCACTTGTAAAGATGTTTTTAGTTTCCCTTTGCAGCTAATCACTCATGTTTTCTGGTAAGATTTCAGCTAAGTCTGTTGTGTTAAGCTTTTTTCACAGAATCTGGCAGTAGCTTCTAGAGTCAAGAAGCAATCTTTTCTTTTCACCAAGACAGGAGAATTAGGAAGGGATTAGCAATTCTCTTGATAGATATTCATTCTTGAAGTTTATGTATCAAAGCAATGCTAATTCTTTCTGCTGACAGCCTTACTAACAAGAATAAATGATTATGACGATATCCTACTTAATTTACCACTGCACAGGTAACATGACAGGGCTATTTGGGTCCTGTAATCACACAGAAGAAAGTCCTTAGACAGACATCAAACCATATAGTGCAGGGGCTATGAGAGGAAGTTATGAGTCACCGATGGGGTTGGTTGGTGTGAAATACAAAGATGACTTGACACAACTATGTAGCAATGAGGGCCAGGCAAATCTGGGTTTCTGGATGAAGAGGCCCCAAAATAATTTTCAATAGATGAGTCAATGTTAGCATGAGGCAGGAGGGCAAAGTGTCAATGAAATAAATTTTGGTATGCCACCACGATTTCTTACTCCAGTGGGTTTATTGTATCAGGCATTTCACAACGGCAGCAGTCAAAATGGCTGTTTGCAAGTCTTCTAATTTTTACCTGCTTTGAGTCACAATGGGTGGTTAATATTCCGAAAAGGGATTAGAAATAGCAGGTTGTGATAATATCTCCTGTCATCAGCTGGTCTTTGATGAACAATTGTGGGAAAATGTTCATGTATGGGATGATCCACAAAACAAGAAAAGACAGAGAAGCAGTTCTATATCAGATACAAGATTAAGACTGAGCATTCAAATCTGTGCTAACAATTCTTTTTTCTTTCTTTCTTTTTTTTTTTGGTGAGGCAATCGGGGTTAAGTGACTTGCCCAAGGTCACACAGTTAGAAAGTGTCAAGTGTCTGAGGCCAAATTTGAACTCAGGTCCTCCTAACTCCAGGGCTGGTGTTCTATCCACTGCATCACTTAGCTCACCCTATGTCATTCTCTTTTATCTAGTCCTTGCCCTGGATTTTTACCCAGCCTCTCCTCTGGACTTCTGTGAACTTCTCAAGAATGTGAACTTGCTTCCTATCGGCCTTTGGTGGTCATTTTTGGTGGGCTCTTGAAGGTCTGCCCAAACCATCAGAAAGGGAGTTGCATTATTTAAAAAGTTGGGGGTCATGTATGTTGGGATTCAAGGTGGGGAGAAGATCAATGATTTAGCACAATGCAAGTATCTGCTTTTCAAGGAAGGCAGAAATTTCATCTTTCTAAAGGGAAAAAAAAATGTCTCTCCATGCTAGGGATGTTTGTCTTAGCCTTTTGTATGGATAGGCCTAAGGAGAATTTACTGCCAGTGTGGGAGGTAGGATAGCCTGACATTGTACAAGGATTTGAGTTCAATTCCTCAGCTTTTGGCAAAATAGCTCAAGTTCACAAAAAGTCAAATGGTACTTCCTGATATTTTTCTTGATGCAAAGTTCCTGAACTTTGCACTTCTTTTTTCTGGACTCCCTCATATTCCAATAAGTTAGGAGTTGATGACAGTTCGATTCAGACAGAAAAGTTAAGGAGGGCAGATGAAATGTCACAAGAGATTTACTTTTAATTTTTCCTTTCTATCTTTTTGAACTGAGAATTTATTCTAGTTCATGGCGTATGCAGACAGTGTCATTCTTTAAATGCCAATCCAGCAATGTGGACTACTGAGAGAACGCCAGGAAGAGACTGATAAAGCAGAGGATGAGAAGAAGCATTCCTACATGGCTCCATGGGGGCAATGTTAATTGGAAATGGTGAGTTAGGAAGCAACATAATAAAGAGAAGTAGACCTCAGCATGGTGAATTTATATCAGTACCTCAAACTCAACATATGGAAAAACAATTTTTAACATTAATTTTTTAAAATTTTGAGTTCCAAATCCTCTCCCTCCTCTCTCCCCCTTTGAAAAACTAAGCAATCTGATGTAGGTTATATATGTGCAGTTATGGAAAACATATTTCCATATTAGTCATGTTGTAAAAGAAAACATGAACAAAAAAAATCCCCCAAAACAAACCAAAAAAAAGTTGAAAAAAAGTATGCCTCAATCTGCATTCAGACTCCATCAGTTACTGCTCTACAGGTGGATAGCATTTTTCATCGTAAGTCCTTTGGAATTATCTTGGATCACTGTATTGCTGAGAACAGCTAAGTCATTCACAGTTGATCATCATATAATGCTGTTACTGTGTCAAATATTCTCCTGGTTCTGCTCATTTTACATTCTTTCAATTCGAGTAAGTCTTTGCAAGTTTTTTGGAGAGCATCCTGCTCATAATTTCTTACAGCACAATAATATTCCATCACAATCATATACCACAACTTGGTTAGCCATTCCTCAATTGATGGGCATCCCCTCAATTTCCATTTTTTTTTGCCACCATAAAAAGAGCTGTAAGTATTTTTGTACATATAGGTCCTTTTCCCTTTTGTTTTTTATCTCTTTGGGATACAGAACTGGTAGTGGTATTGCTAGGTCAAAAGGTATGTATGCACAGTTACAGCCTTTTGGGCATAGTTCCAAATTGTTCTCCAGAATGGTTGAATCAATTCATAACTCCACCAACAGTGCATTAATGTCTCAATTTTTCCACATCCCCTCCAACATTTGACATTTTCCTTTTCTGTCATATTAGCCAATCTGATAGGTATGAGATGGTATCTCTGAACTGTTTAAATTTGCATTTCTCTAATCAATAGTGATTTAGAGCATTTTTTCATGTGGCTATAGATAACTTTGATTTCTTCTTCTGAAAACTGCCTATTCATATCTTTTGGCCACTTATTAATTGGAGAATGACTTAGATTCTTATAAATTTGACTCAGTTCTCTATACATTTGAGAAATGAGGCCTTTATCAGAGACATTTACTGCAAAAATTCTTTCACAGTTATGATTACTATGTATTTCCCTCTGTATATGGGCAATGCAACAAAGTCCT